CTGCCCAAAAGAAATGGGTCTTTTTCTTTCATATCTTTTTAGATTCATGTAGCCCTTTTGCTTCATGACTGTTGACAGAAAAATCAATATTTTTGAACTGCAAATTTGTTTGCTGGGCAATATTACATGCTACATAATATCCTGTCAAATCCATGAACAGCAAATAAATAATCATCTGTAATACCTATAAAAATATTATCCAGTCATTTGAAAATAATGTGCTCTTTGTCTGGTGTTTCAAAAATCATCATCCTCACTGTGCTTTCCTGTCTTTCATTTCAGACAACATCACTCATGGTCTGTGCTGTTACCCCACAGCTAAACACTACTTTCTAGCCTCTATTTATATCCTTGCTTACTCCCTACCAGCAGGAGAAGTTTTATTATTAACCTTATCCTATATCAAAGGCTCTGACTACCTCTGACTTCTAAGGCAGGGGATACCTCAAATCATCTTCTGCTGGTTTTCTTATAGGTGGTACATTGGCTTCTGTAGAAGATCTGGCTGAATCACACTTTTTAGTGGAGCATGCATACTTATACACAAGCAAGACAAGTGGCTTTTGGATAGGAATATACAGAAATGTAAATGGTAACTGGTTTAATTTCTATATAGAATCATAAATAGACTTTATTAAATGGACAGAAATATGATTGAGATACATTGTTTTTAAGGAATAATTGAATTTCAGTAGAAGCTAGTTAAAAAAGGATAGATTTATATAAAAATTCTTAGAAGTTAATGGTTTTATCCAATAGGTATGAAAGGCCATAGAAAAGAAACTTGCTTGGCTTCTTCAAATAACTTGCAGTTTATATATGATTCAGTAGCAAAAATCTGGAGAGGTGACAGGAATATCTCTTGAAAGGCACAACACAGAAGATACCATTCTTTAAGAAAGCAGGATACAACGTGTAATTTCAACTATCCATACCTGGGGCAATCATGGGCCTTTTTTCTAAATTCAAATGATTCAGGAAATTTTTTTTTTTTTTTTTTTTTTTTTTAATATTATGTTTCTGTATAACTGAGCACCATCTGCTTTGGTCAGGAAGTAGAAATATCAGAATGTTGTGAGCCAAGCAGCCATGTGGTATTTTGGAGTTTAACTGTTAATTCTGCAAAAAAAAAAAAGTATGATTTCCTGCATTGTTTCGCAACCCTGAGGTTTGGGATGTTTCTGAGGTTCTGTCCTTTCCCCTCCCAGAACAACAAAGCTGCAGCTGGTAGGGAAAGCAGCCGTACACATTTGTAGTGGCATCAGGAGCATCTTCTGAAAAGAAAACTTCTCCTTTTAGGGCAACTCCTAACTTTCTTTGGGTAGTCAGAGCAATAGACGCTACAGAAGGTTAATTCTTTGTTACCAGATGTCTCGGAAAGTAGAAACTCAGTGCCAACACTTACTTTATTTGTTGGGTTTGACTGTGAGTGGCCCCTAAGTGCAATGCCAAAGTACAGAGAGTTTTGCCTGGCGCCAGGTTCTCCAGCAGGATGGGGTTTCAGCACAAGCAAATACCACGTTACAGTGAGCTCTGCATCCTTCCAAGGGACAATTTAACAGCTGCATTTCCTTCGTGCTCACAGACACGCCCAAGTTTAATGTGCTGCTGCTGCAGCAGCCCGGCTCCCGGTGCTTCCCACGCTGGAACACGCACCCCTATTCTGCCCACGGGAAAGGGAAGATCTGCTTTGGCCCTGGCCAGCACCCAGTTCGCACCCAGTGCGCTGAAAATAATCTTGCAGATGGCGCCCTCTTTGCACAGCCAGGAAAAACTGCATAAGAAAGCTTGAGTTTATAAATGTAATTATAGATGCAAGTGAATTATGGTAAATTAAACTCTCTTGGGTCTCAAAGGAATTGTGTGCAGTACAGGAAAATTAACATATCCTCAGCATTTGATCAAGTTGTCCCCAGTCTCTGTAGGCATGCAGACCCTGTGAAGAGGGCAAGATTTATTAAACAGTGGAGAAGAGAGTCCATCTAAACCAGTCAGAAACTACCTGCACTTGGAGATCCTTTGGTTATTAAAAAATAAACAAGAAGGGGCCTTTAATATGCAAAACCACTGCAGTTTTGTTACAGTGAATGTCATGTTAAAAATCAATCACACCTTTTCATCTCTGTTAATTCAGCAAATGTGTTTCCAGAAGAAGTGATGAGGTAACCTTGATGTGCAGGTTACCAGACCTTTTGCTAACGTGAAATTGTCAGGATGAAAATGTGACCTTTTTAGATTTTGACTAAACTTTTGTCTTTATTTTTGACAGCTATTCTTGGGGCAGATGCAAATGTGGAAGGTAGGATTTATTTTTCCTTCCTAATAGTTTCAAAGACAGGTGAAAAGAAATACTTGGGTATTTTTATGAATTTGTATTTATTATTTATTCATCTTTTATATATTTAATTATATGAGCTCAATTTCTTTAGTTGCCATTGAATTCATGCCCAGTATTATTTAGCAACACCTAAGAGACACTTAGGGCATCCCAGGATAACTAGATGCTTTGGTAAACTGATTTCCCCCTCTTTGCTCCTTCTTTTGAATGTTAAGATCTATGATAGGGACTGACACAGAGTCATTATGATAGATATTCCCCCTGGTAATTAAGGGTGAAATTAGACCAACAGTTTTCTGTATTCTTCGTATTTATTTATGGCTACAGTACACCCACTTCTATTTGCTTTGTATTTATTTACAGATGCCAAAAAGGACAAATCACATGGTCTCATGAATATATGGATACTACTTACTCTCATCCTCATCATTTTATTAGGGATGGGCTTCATGATTTATTTCTTATTCAAGATCAAAACTCAAAGTGAAACTGAAAGAGAGGCGAGGCAGTACAGCACACAGCTAGAGTACAGCTGTGTCCTAACTGGAAGGGACAATGAAAATGATTCTACCAATGACAAAGAAAAAAATGATTATAGTGTCGTCTAATGGGATAATGCAGCCAAATTATATGATTAAGCTTAAAAAAAATTCTAGCTGTAACAAAGGAAATCTTAGTAAAATCTACATGCACCTAATAGACACTATGAACTAAAATTAGGAATTATTCCTCTGGTAAGGATTGAGAGCTCTTGCTCTATTCAATAAATACTCTCAGGACTAAGACTCTATACTGTATACAATGGCTAATAAAACAAGCATACAAAATAACAGAACTAGTGGGAATTTAGGCTTAAAAGTTATGGATTAATACTCTAGTGTTCTCTTTTTAGATTTATAGCAGCATCACATACAGACTCAAGTGATCATTGCCTTTGCAGAGAACTTAGCCCCAAAGCCTGCACTATGAGAAAATATCTCACCATAACATACTGAAGTAAGCATACTGTTGCTCAAGTAAAATGGTGTTTGGAATAAACAGAGATTTACATTATTTCCTTTTCCCCATTATTGCCTCTGTCTTACACTCTTTACACAAGTAACTTCCTTGCCATAACATTATATGTAAAATGCAAATACATGTCCTTCATCCATGGCTTCAACTTGGATTTTGCAAAACAAGTAAATATTTGCAAACTCTCAATCATATTCTATGATTTTGAATGTTTTGTATCAGTTATGAATATGAGATTGTATCAATAAATGATTATATATTACATAATAATAGTTCAGTGTTGTTTAATTAGTATGTGGAGATGTTATACGGTTTGGTGATCTCATGAGTGCTTAATCTCATGACCCTAAGAGAGAGGCTAACAGGAGAAAACACAGAAACATGAACAAGGCATACAATTAAAACATAAATAAACTATGGATGTCAAATAAAACTGGAAGAATACATTCCTGTTTTTATTTCACTTTATTGCTCATTTTAGGATGTCTTTTCTTACTATCCTCCAACTCTGATAAGTGGACTGATGACTGGGCATTGTATCCATGCTAGAGGTCGGTAAGGCAATGGGGCACACTGCACTGTCTTGTTAATGAAATGCTTTAGAGGCTTACTTTGCTGTTTTTCTATGAATTCTATATCATCTGTGATAGACTGAAGAAAACCAAAAAAAGATCTCGAGGATCTCTGGGAAAAACAGACTCTTAGAAAGTGCATAAGAACTATACAGAAGAGATAGTTTGGAAGGAGAGATACAGTTGACATTGGATTTCTGGTTTGTAGATATTGCAGTCAAACAAAACAGTATAGAGGCTAGAATGAAGTGTGTTCTGTATTCAAATTAAGTCCCCTTGATCTTATAACTTTTTTTTTTTTTTTTTTTTGTTAGATTCAGTGATTGATGACTATGAAAAGAAGGCAAATGAAAAGAGTAAACATGAAAAAAAACCCCAACCTCAAAATAATATAACTGTTCATAATTTTGGTATTTTGATTGATGATATTGGTAACAGAGCTCTGAAGATCCTATACTTTGTAAATGGGTTTCTTTTCTCACATTAAGTGATGTTTTGCCTTTGCAGAATATATTATGAGATTTGTCTTCATAATAAAGCTGTGAAAATTGACAGAAATTTTAAATGGAAATTTCTGCTCAATATCTTTCTTCCTTTTCCTTCAAAACAAATAAGGGATTTTGCATCATAGCTGAAGTTGATTTCCACTTAATAAAGGGCTGCAGCTCATTTTTAATGTTTGAGAATATTCCTCTTTGTCTCATTTACACTTGGTACAAAGAGAGAATTATTAAATATTAAAATTCACTTGCACTTTGTGGATTAAATAGTTTTGAAAGGCAGTTTTGTTGTCAAAATCACTGCTTAACAGAAAAATTTTTAAAGATTTGTCTAATTTGTATTGGTTCTCATGAGATAAATTCACATGAAGTAACAGTACAGTAATTTTATCAGTTGATAATTCAGAGAAGACAGAAGCCAGGTGTATACATAGTGACCAGTCTGTCAAGTTACCGAGTGAAATGAAATTGTCCTGAAATAGTTGACATTACTCAGTTCATCAAATTAGGTGAATATATCTTTTGTATCAGTGAAGACCTACCTGGCCAAGAAATTTCCTTTTTTTTTTTTTTTTTTTTTTTTTTTGTATGTATGAGATTTAAAATACATTCATTTAAAGTGCACTCCCTGCTTCTTTGTCTTTGATGCTCAGGGATTTACAGTCCCAGAGCAGACTCAAAAGTTTTAAATAATTCAGTAGAATGATGTTGAACTGTTCAAACTTTGCCACTTGCGTTCAAATGGATGGAAACTTCACTTTAAGATGCAAAGTTTGAATTTTGTAATTATTTATAGATTTCAAAATACCACATGTGACAGGATATTTCCTTATTTAGAGCCCAGACTTTTCTCTTTCAACTAAAACTTCAAAACTGAGGAGTCAGAGCCAACTGGTTCCTTAAGAACTTCTACTGCAGCAATTAATTTCAGCTCATCTCTTTGTGAAAAAGAAGAAAGAAATGAAACACTTGAATTTTTCTACAGTCTTAGTTTTCCTCTCTTTCATTCATACTGCTTTTCAGACACTCGGTGAGTCTTTGTTTTTTATCCCCTGCAAAAGTGGATGTGAAAGTGGGTTTTTTTGTTGTCTTGATTGTTTTGCAGGCTCTTTAAAGTTTTCATGCAGCTTGACTACCCTGCATTTCATATTCATCTTAACTAGGGTGGTCCACAGAAGTTTAAGAAAGATGCAGATACAGAGATGTTGGTTCACTTTTAAAGAGAAGGGAAGAGTCAAGATGGGGTAAAGCTGGGAATCAGAGGTCAGGATAGTCATGTATGCAGATAAAGATTTCCTTTTGGATACAGTTTAGTTAATGGTTATGTCTACTCTGTGAAGCAGATGGACTTCTTAGTGTGCTCCATAGTCCCTGTCTGTATATGTGACTGAGTTACAAAAAATGAAAGAAAGGCACTAAATAGGGTGCTCTATGTGTATCTCTTAACCACTATGGCTTTCAGAGTAAGGATGTGTTAAGCCTCTGAAGCTGACTAAGGACAGGTCACTGTTCAGTTTTTATATAAGAATGGTGATAAGGTACAAGGACATTTTTCCTTTATTCTTCAACTAAATAGATTTGTGGAGGAGTAGGATACAAATCACAGCTTCTGAAAGCAGACACTGTGCCATGCGAGCTATGCCAGCACTAACCTGTGCAAAATGGGGTCTCTCCTCTACTCTGCGAGCTGGGACCCAAACCCACATGCCCAAGCATGAACCTCAGAATTTCCAGTGAGAACTCCTATTATTAGACTCAAAAATACAAGGGACAATAGCTGAAACTTTGGGCACTATACTAACCACTTTAGTTAGCAGTAAGAAATAAAAGATTCCTAAGATTTAATACTATCTGTCTAAATGGACAAGAAGAAACTAGGTCTTAGCTCCAAATTTAGGTTTGAAGAAGTGAAACTTCCATAGATTACTAAACTGGTCAAAGTATCACAGGGCCTTCTTGGGAGAGCTCAAACGTTAAATACAGATATGGTAACAAGAACTATTCTTCCTGTCATAGTTTTCCTGGATTTCCCAGACACTTTCTGCTCTGTTCACTATTCAACACTGGCTGTTCCCTAACATGCTACCCTTGTCCTACACATTTACTGTAGTGTTTGGAAGGGTCCCTTTTGTGGTTATTCTCTCAGATGGATACAGGCACGATGCTACATCTTTGTGTCCAAGTGGGAATTTGAGGCACAGAGAACTGAAGGGCAAAGCCTTGCCCTCCTGTCCCATAAGTCCTAGGTTATTCCCTGTAGTCCAAATTTCACTCCCTCATGGCCCAAAGCTAGTGGGAGTTGTATTCTACTTGATGTCAAACCAATGTCCAGCACTGAACAACCTGCTTTACCTGTGGACAGTACAACTGCAGTACTAGGCAGCCCTTCCCAGCAGGGCCTACTTGTCTTGATGGATTACTAAATTAGGCTGCCTATAATCCTTCATGAATGTTAGCTAGTTTGGTCAGCATTCACATAATGTCTTTCTATAACAATGCACAGGCACACAGGCACAATCCTATAGTAATTAAAAAAAAATAAAATATATATATATATATGTATATATACATGTATACATACTGCTTGGTATTTGTTCTTGGGAGAATGTTCGTGTAAATGATTGTGTAAATTATGTTGACTTTTTATGATAGATGTACTGATGAGAGGATACTCAAACAAGGCAAGATAACAAGTCACTGTTCCCATTTTTTCATCCTAAAAATAACCCCAAACCATAACAGAACATGACAATTACAGAAGGAGCAAGAGTCACAGAAGGCTCACTCACTGTGTTAAGAACAAATGCAACCATGCGGAGTTGTATGTAACATGAGCTAAATCTATAGTGCATGCAGTGATGGCAAACTTCCAAATCTTCAGTAAGGTCTCTTTTGGAAATCTTGAAAGAAATGTGTATTTCAAGAGAGATTTAGAAAAGTAAAATCCACTGTACTCATGAAAATTCCGTTATAGTAATGACAATCTTGAAGCTGTCATAATGTATTTTATGTGCTCTTATTCCTCTGTATTGTATTTATATGAGCTGCACTTATTTCTCCTTCACAGAAGGAAATAAAAGTCTTGAAAATGCTGTTTGTTCTTTGCAAAAGTGACTCAGATTTACAGTCTCCTGACATGAGTCAGATCAGCACAGATTCAACAGCATATCTTCCCTCACAAGCTCCCCTCACCATGTGCTCACCATAAGTACCTTAACTTTGATTATTTTATTTTACAGACAATGAAATATTTTTAATATACAATGAGGATACTAAGCTCTGTTTAATTGCACAGAGTTCTCATGCAGTTACAACAACGGCTTGCAAGAAAAACACTGAGTTACAAAAATTCAGGTGGGTGTCTGATCACCAGGTGATGAGTGTGGCATTTGCACAATGTTTGGGAGTGCCCTACAAACAAAACCAAGCTAAGATTTCTTTGTACCCATGCAACAAGAAAAGTGAATTCCAGAAATGGGAGTGCAGAAACGGGACCTTGGCAATCCAAGGAGAAGATTTATTTCTCAGTTCTGGCAAAAGAAAAGAAGACAATATCATGCTGAACACAGGATCAGCAATGATGAATAAATGGAAGATCTATGGAACCATGAATGACTTGTGTTCTGAAGGCTATGAAGGTAAAGTTTAAAGGTTAATCTTGATGGTGTATGGAACCCACTTGTCTGACATCACAGATAGGATCCTTTGATTACTGCTCCCCTTAGTCTAACATCAGCTGTTCCCCCTGAGGCAATGGTGGACTGGAGGATGATTAGTTCACATATTCAGGCTTGTATTCCTCGATCCAGGAGATGTGCAGCTGCTTAGGTTCAATGTGAAAAAAATTTGCTTTTTTTTTTTTTTTTTTTTTTTAAAGTAGGCTATTTTCAGTTGTTAGCTTTAATCTAAGTGCTTTATTTAAATGTATACTAGTATTAGTGATATTGTATAAGTATTACTGGATGAAGGCCAAAAATCTTTACGTTTAGTACACCAGAACTAAATTAAATGTAAGGAAATAATTCCATGCACACTACCCTTCAGTTGCTCTATGAGATTTCAGAAGCCAAAAATCCCACAATATTTAACAATGAAATCAAGTATTTATTTTTAATGAATGATGGGAAGCTAAGCTACATAATAAACAAATAATGCTATTTTTAGAAAAATATTTAAATATATGAGACAAAAATCACTACAGTTCTTTCATGGTTGGCTACAGTATGAAAGTCCTCCTGTTACAGCTGGTGATACCATAAGCAAATGGTAAATTGCAAGCCTTACCCA